TGTTAGATACAACTGGGAATTGATTAGGAATATTCAATGCATGCACAGAGAGAATAGCGATCTATCTTTGTGGTATGAAGGTCCACAAGCTATGTATTGCTAGGAGAAATAAGAGATCATAATTAGATTAGTGTTGTATATGAAAGTGAGGGCATACCTTATATGATTTGATGAGGTTTTTCAGGCCACTAAGCACCAATAATTGATGCTTAAATATTGGTTCAACCATCACAAGATCATACAGTAAGTTCTTTAATTATTTGAAAATTCTTAGCAAATTAATTACAATTTTTTCATCAAAAAATGAAATGAATAATCCCCTTTAGCTAGGGTATATATAAATATTGATTGTTGTTGAATTAGAATAATTACTAGGCATGCAAATAGAACAATTTAAGGGTGAAGCAGGAATCTATGCCACAAACTAAGGCTGCAAATGATTTAAAAGTCTGCTACTAAAGCAGGAAAAAAGAAAAGAGCTTTGTTTCTTTAAGATCTCCTCGAGCTTAGTTGCTACATCTGCAGAAAGAAGATCCTGCTAAAAATCTGTCAAAAGGCCAAAAGGGTGCCTGTTTTTCTGCACAAAAAAAACAGATCTTCTGTTATAGAATCTGCCACTTGAAGAAATAATTAAGCACCAGCTTTCAGACGACAAAGAAATCTTGCTCCTGCAAACTCCAATGTCATTGCCATTAATTGTACCCTTTTAGCTCGTGGGTGACACATGTAAGACAAACACAAATGATGAAATCTGTATGAAAGATCTGTAAATTCTTGTGCCTGAATATTTCCAATAGTGATGATGCTTGGTGCCTTTTTTTCTCACACGTAACAATCAAAAGCCTTTCACCAATAAGGCTTTGCTATCTGGTCAATCTATATGACTACTTTGTTAGATTACATTCAAGTTATCTACTAGTCATCAACTACATTTACTTTTGATCAGAAATTATTATATATATGGATGTATTGCATCATTTTATATTATGGACCAAACCAATCGAGCTATTATAAATAATAAAAATTGTCTGATCATTTATATAGTAAATTATACTTAGAAAGTGAATTTTTGAAAGACCCTGTGCTTGTATCAAATCAGAAAATTGATTTATGTGTAAATAATTTTTAAATTCAATCATATATTCTTTATATTTAGGCAATTCAATCTAACTGATTTCAATTATTAACAAAGATCCATGTTTTGAATAAGATGTTTTACCTAAATTTTGACTCACTATTTAGAAAAAAAAAATAATAATAGAAAGAGAATAACTTGTAAATCTTTATATTTATTTTAATTCTTTTAAAAATTAAAGCTAAATATCTTAGTCAAACTTGTGTTGCACGTGGCTAATATTTTCCAACTCAACAATTTTTAATATAACAAATGGATTTCTGTCAAAAAATAAGGAAAGTTGGATTGAATTGGTTGAATGCAAGATGAATTCGTAAAATTATTTACACAAGGTTTAATATGCGAATTTGATGGATACATTGGGTCTCTAAATTGGGTTTTTCCTAAATTGTTTTCACACTTAAGAACATAATCATAATTATATAATGAAATAATTAATAATACATTCATCATTTATTGATATAAAAATTCTATTGGTTATTTGGTCCACGATCTTAGATGATGTTACATTGACACCCCACGCTTACGCTGGTTAATTATTAACGATAAAGAATAATTATAACTCAACAAATATATATTATTATTATTTTAAAAAGGAAAAAAATATTGTTTTCATATCAAGTTAATTAATGATTATTACTAATTATCAAGTAAATTTACTAAGAACTTATAATGGTTGTCGGGGGCTTTTCACTGGAAATATAAACGATAAATCCATTTGATGCATGCACTATACCTCGAAGGTAATTAATAATATAATAAAAAGCCAGAATACCAATTTTTCAAAAAATTAATGGATTATTATCATGAAATGTTGTCTAGCAATAACAAGATTGTTTTGATTTTATCAAAATCAAAGTTCTATTCTCATTATTCATAAATAATTAATTATAACTATACATTTGTAGCATTAAACTTGAGCTGGTTTATCCCAAAAAACATTCTGGTGATTGATCAAAATGCCAAATGTGTTCTAACATTGGTTTAATATAAGAAGTAATGTAATTATAAGTTTTGATTAATATGAAAACTGATCTCATTATACTTCACAACCTGTAAATATATATATATATATATATAATGGGTTTATACGATCTGTACCAAGCTTCAAAAGTGGATGATGCCTAAAGAAGGGGATTAAGTGGGTGATGTGCACAATTCCTTCATCAAACTGTTCCTATTCCACAAATTGCAATAAACAGAACATAATGATTGCAGATAAATGTGGACATAATGATTTGGCTTAAAGGTAAAAAGAAAGTAGCTTGTAAGTTGGTGCTTCACAGTTCAATTTACCAAATTCATTGTTACTTGTGACTGATGATTGTTTGAGTTAAGATGATCTATCGTAATGAAATGACTAATCAATTGCCTAGTGACCAAGGCAATATGCTATAATTGCATGCCTCGAACGAGTGGCCATTATAGACTTAAAAGCAGCACGGCATTCAAAAGAGGACGGAGTTAGTAGCAAATTGTTCCCTAAAAACCCTACATTTAATCAATCATGGAACTAATAAATTTGGACACTACTTTACGGAGCAACCAACTTATGCATCCTCTCTTTTTTGTTCTTTTTTCTTTTTCTAATGTTCTAAATAATGATCGTTGTATATACTTAATTATTGATATTTAATAAATTTAGACATACTCATTATTATTATTATAAGAAACAGAATGATATTTTATATAAATAATAATGTTATATATCGTTATTGTTGTATAAAGTTGTTATTTAACGATGATTATATTAAAAAAAATAATTTTTTTATATTTTATTATTATTTGTGTGATATAAAATTATTAGAAATATTGTTATTAATATTATTATAGTTAATTAGTATAATTATTAAAAATATATAAATTAGAGTAAATTTATTGATGATTGTTAGTTTGCTGACGTCATGATAACTATTGTAATTATTATTTTAATCACAATTCGCAATTACTAATTTTTTTACAACTTCATTTGCTACTTAAAAGTATGGATAGACCGCAAATAAAAACCGAAAGTGTTTTGGCATCTCAACCTAGCAATCATGAAAAAACTGGAAACCGGTAAAGAATGGTCACGTAATGCTGCTAGTTATGATGGGATTTGCACATCCACGTTCAGAAGTAAAATTGCCAACTACTAACTCATGGCCACGTGGTCATCTGATCTTCCCTTTCATGGAAGCCAAGTGAGCAGCAATTACTAAATGAACATGTCAACATGATGCAATCAAGTCCTCAGTCTTTCTATTGCAAACTTAACACTATATCTGGGGTAAAGAGATCCTGTATGGATCGTTACCAATAATGGATCCACAAGAAGTTGCCAAATGCTTCCAAAAAGTGATAAAAGTTGGAATAGTTGGCCTCGTTATGTCCTCTGATGCTGCCCTTGGACAAGAATATCCTCAAATTCTTCAATCCTCCTTGTTCCTCTATTCCTCTATGACATTATGTAAATCCACTTACTATTATAGTTTTAAATCACGAACAGTTAAAAAAATAATCACAATAACTATTGCGATTTACTATAATACTAAAATAACGATAACGAAATGTTTTAAAACTCGTTATGTAATCGTTATTATATAACATAACGATCATCGTTTAAAACCATACTTACGATTCATAAATCCCACATAATAAGTGAGAGAATATTCATACACCAGGAGTAGTAGGTTTGGGTTTGTTTTTTCGTTTTTTTTTTAAAAGCAGTAGTAGAGTACTAATTCGGTTAGGAATTCTTTGGTACTGTCTAGTTTAAAAACAACCTTATCTTCCATTTTACGCTACGATTTGCAATATAAAAGAAAACACAGATTGTGGTGCAACACTGGTGAATTGCTAGCTTGAGATGGAACAGCCATGGGAGAGACGTGAAAGGCTAGCACATCTCTGCATTTTAACAACAGTTTATAATTTGTCGTGACGCCACTACATTCTGAGTTTTAAATTAGGCACTGTTGAAGTTCCTTGAAAATCATAACTAGAAAGAGATCATCACTTTCTTTGTCAAGATTAACCATTAATTGGTAAAACGTAGGTGTCGAACTTGACCAATGAGCTAAAGACGAAAACCCATTTTTATATAGATCGCTGGTTATCAAGATCCAGACGGGGGAATATAACTCGATGTCCTCAATAGTTCAACAGAATAAGCAAAGGCAATGTTACGAGTTAAAATGAAAGGAAACCAATACCAAAGTCGTCATAGAATCAACCTTAAACCCCTTTCTCCCAAAATCTGTAACCCCTTTACCAAAATGAGTACACAAATAAATAGATCTTGATCAATATGTACCAAAACGATCTGTTAAAAAAAAAAAAAGGATTCAACAGCTAAACATACTGCAAAAACATATGAACAATGTGCTCTGTTTAAAGCAGACTAGAATGTTTCATTATTTACTCCAACCGGCTAGAGTTTACTGAACAAGTTTTGTCGTGAAGGAGGACTCCTCTGGGGCAATAAATAGAACCAACATGGCTTGTCAAAATGACATTTTATGTTTAACTGTGAATGCCCCCATTTTAGGAGTGCTTATGGTACAACAATTTCGACAAAGGTAATACAATTGAAGACATATTTAATGAAGCACCTCTCTAACCATTTTTCTACTGGATATTGTATGACTCACATATGTAACCTAAAGCTGTAACCTTAACCAAAACATGGGGAAAAAAAAAAAAAAAGAATCATAATGTACCTAGTTGAAGGTATGAACCTTAAAATTTCTCTTTGCAATTTAACATTTCAGAATACTTACAAGTCAGAATTTGAAGGCCAAGCAACTGGAGAAGGATGAGAAAACAATCTTGGGACTCCAGTTTTCAAGAGTTTTTCCAAGCAGCATTGACAAACATTGAACCTTCATTTTGATTCCTCAATGCTAAAAGGTAAATCTGACTGCTTTCTTCTCTTTGGTTCAGGCTCACCTAACTGCAGCGAAAAACGCATCTCCTCATCAGAGTCACTCCTTAATGCTGAGAGGTTTTTCAGTTCTGGGCTTTCCTGTGGTGTGTTATCATGCATTGGAGATCTCCATGAGAAACTTGGGATGAATTGATGTTCCACATTAGGAGCTGCTTCTACCCCATCTTCTATATGAAATTCAGGGCCAATGAAGGGTGGGGTCTGTCCTTGCTGGGACTCACCTTCAACTACCACTTGCTGAATGTTTAAATTTTGAGGTTCAAAGTTTTCTTCAATTTTTTCTTTTGATGGCACTCGGTCCAGAGGATATGACTCTCCAACAGTAGAATCTATTCCTGGCGCCGATGCATTTCTTTGATCTTGAACTGCAACTATATCAATAACTGAAGTCAGAAAGTATCACAAGTTTGGATAACACGCACATAATTATTACTGAAGAGAGATGTCACGAGGCTTTTTTCCCTCTCTCTTTACATTTTGCCATAGATTCACACCAGGCCTTTGTTTTGTTTCAAACTATTACATTGTCAACTTTACCTTCTCTCAAAAGTAATGCAATATATGTATGTATGTATGTATGTATGTATGTATGTATTTATGTATTTGCTCTGGCACTTCCAGTTTCTCCTGAGAGGTATAAATGAACTTACATAGGCTGGCATCACCTCTTCAAGAAACACATGTTGGAAACTTGATATCATTGCTATTGGAATTCAGAAAGTATAAAAGTTATTCAGAAAGCAATTGCATTAGATATTATTTAAAAGTAATTTTCACTTCCAAAAAGTATGTTTCAAAATATAAACAAATGCTGTTTTTTCCCTTTGTTCCTTTGATTGCTCTCTTGATAATGATGATTTCAAAAGTAAAATGAACTCTTTTCTGATGCTAAGCAAACATTGCTAAGTAGAACACCATCCACAGTTCCACACTTACAAAAAGTATACATGCAATCATCTTTTCTTAAGCTTGATACTTTCAGTTTGATAACAATGGCTTTTTCAGTTGATTAACAGAATTCATGATAAACCCTTTATATTAAAGAGCACCTAGTAGAAAATTTCATGATCAGGCAACAGGTTATTTTGGTACCAATGTAGTTTATCCAATTTGAAAGCAAACTCCAAACTTCATTCTCTCTCTTTTCAGTCATCTTGTTTTTTGTTTAATAAAATCAGGAACAGTTGATCAAACTGCAGCCAAAAGTTCCCATCCAATACAAAGCAAGCATATCATTTGTTACTATAATATCCTTGATTTTGGCAATATGCCCTCCATATATGAGGAAAAATATCAATGAATTCTGAAAGACAAATGCAAAAATGTAGAATGAGAAAAGGATGGGTAATTAATCAGAAGTACAAACCTTGAAGCCCCTCGTTGGTTGTGATGAGATCAAGTTCAAGGAGGTCAAGAAGGCGACCAAGATCAACTCCACTAGTCCAATTTTCTGGGGGTTGGCCAACTTTAAGCTTCAACCGACCACGATTAGCTGTACCACCCCAAATGATCCCAACTGGCCGTGGCTTCCCACCATTCTGACCCGTTAACAGAATTAGGCTTCCACTATCACCTTCAAGATCAAATGTCTGTTGGTTCTCACCAACAACGAGAAAATCGGTAAAGAAACAAATCCCTTTCTCATCATTGTACTCTAGTGCATAGGCCATTATGGTCCCAGTAGTCAAGCCAGAACTCCTTCCAACTTTGACCACTTGCCTTCCAATGAGACTATTAATTGGAGCTTGCAAATCTATAACATGGACATCACCAACCTCACCAACACCTTTGACAGCTGTAGTTACATTGTTCATGTTAAAATCTTCTGCAAAAGGAATGAAGGCCCCGTCTGCTCGGACAAATGTTTCTGCAAGGAATCATAATGGGTGAGTGTTGAGGTCAGCAAACAAAGAAAAAACAATTAGCACAACTATGATTTCATACATAATCGTACTTCTGTGCCATCTAAATGTAAATAGATAAATCCAACTATCATGGAACAATACTCAAATCATATATTCCAAAATCTGCAACAAGCTTAGTCTGTGAAGACGAACATCTAGCTCAATTGCCTGGACGAAGAAGGATCATTTGAAGTTCCTTGTCCAATCTGCCGCCCCCCCCCCCCCCTCCTTCTCTCTCTAACATTCACTGGGGAGTATCTTAGCCTTGGACATGAGCCATAGTTTTCAGACTCCAATAGATTTGATCTAAAAAACTTCTATCCAAGCCAGAAATAATCCCTTCCTGCCTCATGATTTTACAAACTCAGAGAAGCATTCTCATTGAAGGTCAGACTTACGACGAATTCAAAAAATATCAAGATTGTTATCATGGACCAATGCAACAATAGTATTAACAAACCCAGTCTGGTCTGCTTAACAGAATGCTAGATCATTTCAAGATTGATAAAATGCTGTTATACTTTGAGTCGTCTAAGTCAGGGTTTAAAAGTCCCATTAAACTGATCTGCTAATATCTTATATCCATTAATTTACTTGGCAAGTGAATGCTAGACGAATTTCAGTTTTAGCTACCTTTCAAAGATACATGTGATAGAAACCCAAGCTAGTTAGGCTTTGAGCTGAATCTACCTCAGCTTAATTGATTGTACACCTGCAGCCAGCAGGAACTCCAATTTTTTGCTGGCATTTCTTTGATTGAAAAGGGGAAAAAAGAAGAAGAATATGGAAACATTAGGGAGCAACAATGTCCAACACTTATTTGGTTAAAGCTGTAGCAGATTTCCATATGTTGAATGAAAATATCCCCTGGAAAAATCCACAATTAACCTAAAGAGGTAATACCTTATACTCTCCTAAACTGAATTTTCCCAGCCAACAGACACAAATTTCCTCAAAGGAAAAAAGTTTGGATTTATCTGTCAAACTATTTTCCTAGTCGAACATAGTCTTAGAAAATCAGCAAGATAACACATCCCTTGGCTTGACATGTAGGCCATTAAATATAGTCTATTAAGAGTAAGAATGCAAACTACAAAATCTTGTGGTAAACCAAAATATACATTGCTGTAACAAATTTTAATGTGGAACTACATTACCTGGGTTTGTTCCAGCAAATATGCCATACCAAAGCTCATCAGTGATAAATGAGGTTGCTCTCTCCACAGCACCCAAATACACCCCAGGTCCAAGGCTTGGTGGCAAAGGATGGAACATTTTCTGGTTTGGGTAGTCCAGATCAACTGCAACATGCCGATTTGTGAGGAAACCAACCTGGCGGTTACCTGTTCGGCTTTTCACAATAGCACCCAGGGTTCCATAGGTCTCTTGGTTAGCAACCTAAAAATGTAAAGCAATTTTGTAAATTCCACACAATGAACAAAGAAACAGGTATTCAACTGCATATCACAGTATACATTGCCCAAGCAAAATAAGATGCAGGACATATATTAGGACAGCAAACAGAATAAGGACCGAAACCATTCACTTAAAAAAAAAAAATAATAATAATAATAATAATAATAATACTGCTAAAGTAATAGCAAAACAGACCCAACTGCAAATCCATGATACATCAATAGCACCTTTATTTGCACACAAAGTTTTGATAAAGATCTCCTAACAATTCTCTCCAGATTTTAAAACTCTCTATTGGTACAAAAGAAAAGGCAAAACCATTCTATAATGGGAAAATATAATCGACTTGAACTAGGCTCCTATCTTAAAGAGTTGCACATATCCAACTCAAAAACAGGAAAACTAGTTCAAACATTTAACATACTCGTTCATTTTTTTCATCCTTCAATCAACCAGAACAACTAAGAAACTGTCCGTATAGCAACTAAAAAGTTCATTGAGCACCCAACAAATAGTGCTACTTTATCATTAATGAATTCCATTCCTACCATCTAACCAGTACAAGAGTCAGGACCATCACTAAAGTGCCGATACCTGAGATCCAGAGCCAATGGATGGGTCACTTCCTCTCAAGCCATCTACAAGCTCAGTATACAATTGTTCCTTAGGAGTTGCTGCAGGAGCACCATAATAAGAGAATTCTACAACATCAACATCACACCATACACCTCCTGGTCCCTGGCCCAAACAATGAAAAGGCAGCTTAGCTTCCCAAGCAAAAAATGAAGTCAGTCGTAGATCAAACAGAATAAAACAAACCAAGTGTCTATAGGAGAGAAATACAGGCCAGAGTAAAGCTGGAAGCACCAATTTTCTTACCTCAAGGGCCGCAGGTAGGCACTGGGCATGGCTGAGCCATTGCCTATGAACTTTACGGGCAACAAAAACAAGAATTGCAGGAATATCCGTCAAAACACCACGCTGGATTCGAAATCCAATTGCTGTGCCAAGACTAAACAGCCGCAATATTTTGCTATGAAATGCCCTAATGGTCATCAGCTCAAGTAAGGTGGTAGCTCGCTGCCCTGTTGGCCTCCCAAGAGTTTCTGGCAGCACCCCCTTCTGGAGGTTTCCAAAATAGTTTGCCCTGTCTTCTGCTGCATCATTTAGTCGACTCAACGTGGGCCAGGAGAAGTAGGCAGCATTACTCTCTGAGTGCTGCCCACCTGAAGCAAAAGGTTGAAGTGGCAACGGACTTAACCAAGGCAAATTAGGATGATTACAGTAGTTTCTTTCCAAATCTAAAGCCGATTCCTCTGATTGTGATGATCCAGAGTGATGAATCCTTAAACCTAATCTGTTCCTGTCCATCTGTCAGCTCTCCTACACATAAACATATTGACTGTATAATCTTAAGAACAAATTAAACAGCTTAATTCTCAAAATATAAAGAAGCTAGAGGGCTTCGATAATTGCAGGAGAAACTGGAATGCTTGAACGGTAAGAATAATTAATGAAACTGAAGAACAATCCCACAATACAAAAACATGGAACACTTCAAAAAAAACATTTGAGGAAAAAAAGATAGATACTAGAAATAACAGTTAACCAGACTATAGCTACTCCACACATACAAATTTGCAGAAACACCTGCAGTGACATATCTCTAAATAGGAAACCATGGAAGTTGCACAAAACGAGGACCATTATTACATATATGACACAAGCATTCTATCCCTAATGTGAAGCTATGAGCAATAAAATAATTAGTTGTTGAACTTATAGTCTAGGGAGACAAAGGAATAGAGAACAGGCTACCAAAATAATAATAAATAATATAAGCATCTCTATCCTGATAAAAGCTCAAAAAGGAAACAAATTCTTCAAAGGGTATCAGGAGAAATGAAAAAAGAACACAGAAATAGTAGCTTAACATAACAAATGTTCACATAGATAGGGGAATAGTGTCATCCTTTTCCATGCAGAAAACCATAATAAAACACAAGCAAACAAGGACAAGCAGTATCACCCCGAAGTCTGCAAATAGAGATATCAAGTCAATGCAAGTCTTTGAGAAACCAATACAAAGAAGCTAAACCCATATCCAATCTAAAAGGAAAGCAAAATATTTGAAATGATTATTTGAAAAACTGAGCACATACTTCATGAAAACAACAACTTTCTGAGAAAACTGAGCAAAAATAATTCAAGAACCTTCTTTTATGAGCTCAAATTGATTAAACCCAGATAGCAAAAACTAAAGATTATTAAAACAAACAAACCCCATATCTAAATTAATACCAAAACCAACAGATTAAGCAAAAACCCGGATAGGATATACAACTAAAAACAAGATTTTTAAGCAACACTCACCAAGCAAAAAAGGTGGAGCTGTGATGGGGGACTCCAAAAATAGCCCCCTTGAAGCTGTTCATGCCCTAGTACACAATCTTTTTCATTAGTAATTGCTACTCTGCATAGTAAAAAAAAAAAAAAAAAACCTTTATGTGCCTACTACTGACATATAGGGAGAGAGAGAAAGAAAGAGAAGTAAGCAATAATAAATTAAAAAAAGACTCAATATTTTCTAGGCAGACAGGGGGAACTAAGTAGTAAAATATTTGGAGGGATAGAGAGAGAGAGAAAAGCCAGACAAATATCTATAGTATCTGCTGCTATTGATTTTGCATTAATGTAATAACAAAGAACCATTTAATAATTAATGGGTTTTTTTTCTATTTTCTTACAAACACTTTTTATTTGCTTTCTTCCTTTTTGATGTCTTTATCCTTTCTTTTTCTTTTTTCTTTTTTCTTTTTCTTTTGGCTACGTATCATTTATGGAGTGAGTGAGTGACCTGAGTGATCACATTTCTTGGTGGAAAATGAAGTGCAGGGGCATCAGAAGGATTTTAATGGAGGAGAAATTTTTTCTTTAGATCCCATTTTGATATTTTTAAGCATGGTGGGGAAAATTAGGGTCCCATCCATATTTGCTCCCCAAAAGTAGCACATTCATCACCTAAATAATTCAATTCCCACCTATCTATAGGGTGATGGGTAGGGTATAAGAGATGATCTCTTTCTGTTATTACATTCTCATTTACCTTCTTTATTTAGCTCATTGGCAGATGTTTTGTGCATTTTGCTTGTTGAATGCATTTCTAAGTAGCTTGAGGAAAGTTTTGAAAATTTGTGATTGGCTTAATTATACGATAATTGTTTACATAACAGTTCTTCACATAACTAAAAAAAATATTAAAAAAATAATAGATATCGATATAGAATCCTAATTTTATCATATAAATCAAAATTTATTAGATGATCAGACTAATATATAAGTTATAGAAATTGCATTATCAAACATTATTCTTTTTCTAATAAAATGGATATGTAAAGCATTAATTTATTATATGTAGTTTATGTAACGAAAAGAACTATAGTATGAAGTATTATTTTTTAAATCACAATGTATTAATCTATTGATAAGTAAACGTTAACTTATAAGTCGGGTATAAGATTCGATCTTTATGACAGCATTCTTAAGAATTTATTTTTAAAATATCTAAAACTGTGGATTAAAGAATGTCTTTTAACCATATTTAGAAAAAAATTAATCTTAAAATGCGTAAAAATATATATATATATATATATGAATATATTTATTGTTGAACCTAAAAGTATTATTTTTAAAAAATATGATTGAAATAAAAATGATATAAGATAGAGTTACATGTGGGTCATAATTAATATGGTTGAAAAATGGAATCAAAACCTTATATACCATAAACATGTCATCACTTATTTTACTTCTTTTTAATGGAGTTTTTTTTTTTAATCGAAAGACAAGTCTTGTTTTTCTATGCCACTCACTCTTTCTTAATTCTTTCTCTCACATGTATGATGATGTGCTCTCCTTCCATTATTTTCCATCACAAAACTCTATCCTTCCCCGATAGCATGCGTTTGCAAAAGAGAGTTGCCTTTCTAGAAGTTAAAAATCATTCACACATTGTCTTTCTTTAATTCCAATACATTATCTTCTTCACCTTTCATCACCTCGTCACATCACCACCATTATCTTTATCCATGATTCAATTATCAAATAATGATAAGTCCACACCTCGTATTAAAATAATATTACATGCAAATTCAGGTGTTTTATTGAATGTAATGCTTACACTAAAATAATCATACTCTTTTCAATTAAGAATATTTTCGGATCAACAATAAGATCAAATATTCTTTTTTATTACATTTAATTTTTAGGTAAATTTCTTTTTTTCTCTTGAATTCGAATTCAGAAAATACATCATATGTTTCGTGGATCAATATAAATTGATTAATTAATGATGTAATATTTTTGGATTGATTTTTTTTATTTCCCAATAAAAGAAAAAAAAAAAAAAAACAAGATCTTTAGTTGGAAAGAAGTCTATTCATTGTCTGACACTAAAAGGGTTAGTGGCCATTCTAGTTGGAAGTATGTATTTTCGTTACATATATTTGTAGCTTTATAATTTCATAGATGGCCACAAGCCATGAGATGACGAGATTGTGCTTGAGAGTGAAAAGAAGGGAAACCAGAATCTATGAAAATCGTTCTTCCCAAGAAATTTCAACAATGCAATTATTGGATCAATACCAATTATGGGTTCCACCACAATCAGGCATTTTTCGAGAAGAAAAAAGAAAAGGAAGATGTTGAGAGAGCACTCACATTTATAGAGTTTTTGTTGGACTATTGTAGCTCCATTAATTTCAGGTTTATGTACAAGAAATACAAATATTACTTCAATTAATCGGTCGATTTTTTTTTAACAGTCATGTATTTTCCAACTAATTTTAATATCAAAATTACATAAAAAAAAATCATACTACAAAATTTTTTATTTTTATATTATCTTTTAAAATTCAAATTTTGATTGATGATGCAAGAAGCAATTTCATTTACCACTCATCATAGACTTAAAAGGATATTGAATGAGCAAAAGCAAACGATAAAAAAATCAACTAATCTATTGATTTTTTAAGAGTTATGTATTCTCGAACTAACTTTTATATTGAGATTATATATATATATATATATATATATATATATATATATAAAAACTTTTATTTTTATATTATTTTTTAAGATTCGAATTTCAACTCATGATGCAAAAAGAAATTTCATTTACCACTCATCATAGGCTTAAAAGAGTATTGAATGAGAATAAGCAAACGATAAAAAAAAATTCAATTAATCTATTAATTTTCTTTAACAATCGTGAATTCTCGAGCTATCTTTCATATCAAAATTATATAAAAAATCAATATTACAAAAACTTTCATTTTTACATTATCTTTTAAAATCGAATTTTGAGTGACCATGCAAGAAGCAATTCCACTTACCACTCATCATAGCCTTAAAAGGGCATTGAATGAGCAAAAGCGAATGATAAAATGCTTGGCCATTCTTGCCATCCCATTTGCACCAACCCATAAATGTATCACAAACAAAACATGAAAATTGACATGGGACCTGAACTTGGTCCTCCTTTCAATGCTGTCACAACTATTATCATCAGTGATGCAAGAGAGGGGAGGTGTTGGAATGGCATTTGCTAAGAGAGAGCAAAATTTGGGATTGAAATTGGGAAAGGGGCATTAAGGAAATGGGCCATGACACAAAATTTTGTTGCAGATAAATCTAAGAAGGATGGGATCCACTAAGACAGAGTGCGTTAATGTAGCTTTTGGTACAGTAGATATAGCCCCCACCTTACCCATCTACAGTCTTCCACTTGCATTTTTTGTTGCCCCATTTGGTATCAAATTCATCTCCCTTTTCTTCCAAAATCTTTTTGTAGAAAGGAATTTTTTTTGGGTCAAATTCAGTATAATTTTAAAGATCTTAATGTTGATATTTTGGTCTCAAGGGCATTGAATTTGAATGCTCCAATCTTCCTAGTCTCATTCTTGATTTATTTTTGGATTATTACTATTACATGTTCTTATATAACAGATAAATTTTTCAATCCGTCTCTAAAAAAAATACATCTAATCTGTTATTATATTTTAAATTGATTTTTAATTTTTTCTTTTAGTTAAAACTTTTGATTAAATTAAGTCAAATTAAACATATAATTTATAAAAGATATGTGATTTGATGAAATTAATTATCTTTATTATATGACATAAGTGATCCATATCTACTAATATGAAAATTAATTTTTTAAAACTGATCGAAAATTTTGATTAGAAAAATAAATTAGAAATTAGCTCAAAATATAAGAATAAATTGAAAGATTGGCCGATTATATAAAGCAAGTGAGGGTATTAACTCTTTTTCTTTTTTTTCCTAAAATATCTATCATCCATTATCGATAATTAATTAATCTGAACCACAATTTGAATATATTATATATCTTTCAAGATAAAAAATAGATATTTAGTGTTAGCTAAATTAGTTTATATTCAAATGAAAAATGAAAAATTATTTATTTTATATAATTTTATATATATATATATATATATATATATATATATATCAAATTATTCATGATATAATTAGCATTTTGTTTATCAGGATCAAGTCTATTTTTAATTATATTTTAGATAGAATATTTATATATAATTTTATGTATTAATGAGATTTTTTTTTCTCACGATCTCCTCTTAAATTCAAATAATAAAAAAAAAAAACGTAAAGTGATAAAATTGGAACATTTCCCTTCTGTAAACAGATATAGCCATATGGGTCTATATTGAGCCGTGGGCTAGTTTATTTAGAGGAAAACTATGAACCCATGAGTACTAAACCCGGTCAAGCTCAAATTGCAAACCTAGGCCCATTAATTTGTTCTGGATTGATTATCGCTATTATTTGGATAAATATTTTCAGAGTCCATTTGAATCCAAGCATTAAACCGGGTCGGGTTAAAACCTTTCGTATAAAGAACCCACCAAACGAAATACAAGAATTCAACAAATCTCAGGATCCTTTCCGAGATGGCGCGACAGATGGATTGCGAGAGGCTACACAAGGCCCTCTGCGATTGTCACCGCCGTGTCCCGGCGGGGCGAGGGCGGGAAACTGCGTGTCGGCATCTGAACAGGGCGTTAGCAGAGTGCATGGTGGCGGTGGTTTGTCCTGATGAGTCAGAGGCTGTTCGTAGTTTGTGTTCGAGTGGTGGGACCAAACTTAAACGGTCTCAATGCCAAGAAGCCCAGCTTGCACTTTCTGTCTGTATCTCTTCACATCAACAAGAATGATATATTTGATCAAGAAGAATAGCAATAACAATAATGTTGAAGCAAAACATTTTTTTTCCTTTTTTGGGTTCAAATTAAGGTTGTCCCTTCTCGTGTTCTTTATAGGATTATTATTATTATGTTGTTATGTTGTATGATAATGATCGCATGGAATGGAGCAAAAGACTGTAAGGATACATATAGCCAACTCCAAGTAGTTTGGGGTTGAGCTTGGATGTTGCAATGGAAATGAAAACAGAAGTTTAAGAGAAATTTTTTTAACGTTCATGAAGGTTTTTGGATTCAGTAATGAATATCATGTTAGGATCACTATTGGCCAAACCCTCCAAAAGCATTATACCTCGATCTGGTGGCTGCCTCGTATCTGGGTACTTCTGGTATTGAAAGGCACTGGAAAACCTGCATAATACTATTTCGTTGTCACCAACAGGCAGGGTCTCAGGTGTTTCTTGCTTCCGTGTGTACTAAAATGTAAAACAACAGAGGGGTAATGGGCTGAAGTACAAGAAGTAATTACAGAAAATATAGCAATTTATCATAAACTTTATAGCACAAAGACTGATACATAAATGTATCCTCGAAAGTAGAGAAAAAAGGAACAGTTGCGTTCTTATTCTGAAAGTTACCAAGAGGAAACAGCACTGTGCACAACTGATAATGTACAACAATTTAATTTATTTTTAAGAAAAAGGACCAGGGGAACTTATAATCACTCTTATACACGACTTATTTAAGAGTACACATGCCCTTGGTTTGCAGAACCATGGTTGTTTCAATCCGCAGATATAGATCATCTATGAAGAAAACCTGTTCCTGTCGTGGGGTGAAGAATAGTCAATGTCTGGGCCGAGAGGAATTATTCCGAAGGGATTGATAAAAGGATGGCTTCCATAATAATGCCGCTTGATATGCTGCATGTTTACAGTGCTACTCATGCCTGGAATTTGGAAGATGTCTTTGGTGTAGTTGAACAGATTTGGGTATTCTCGCAGTAGCTTTTTGTTGCATTTGAAGTGAACTGCATAAACCTGTAACGAAACTAACATCAAATCCTTTTGCTACATGAAAAAAATTATGTGAAGAGGGAGCAAATTTCGTAACACTCTGAAAAGGCTTTTACTTGACCATACCAACCCAAGTTCCATGATATGCTTCAAAGTTCAAAGAAAGGGCATAATTTTTGTGAATAAATGAAATGCTAGCAATGATTGTCTCATTCAAAGTTAGTTTTCCTTTCACTCTATTTCTGGAGATCCCCTCATGTCCCATCTTTGCAATAGAAAAACATCAATTACTGTTCTACCTACACTTCCAAATGGGAACAGCTGCTAGAAATTCGATTAGATAAACTTTAAAAAGGTTGCTTCATGATCTTTAGGACATGAGGGAAAATAATTCAGCAGTCATTGAAATCCTTTCCGAAGCCCTTCTGGCTTCAGAAGGCAGACGGAAAGAAAAATCTTAAAACAGAAGGAGACCATCTATTTCATATGTCCCAGCCTTCTGTGCTCCATAACCGAAGAAAAAGGATATAATAACATACAGCCTTACAGGTGATAATGCAACTTTTTATAAGCTATCCCTATACAGTAACTGAATCTCTAAGCTCCAAATGGCTCAATTCCACTTCAAAACCACAATTCTATTAGGATTCTCTACAGGGCTAGTCTGACTTTTTCCATATTTTACTAAAAGCCATTTTTGGTTTCTGAGAAGATGAGGGAAAAGGATAAAACAATCATATCAGCATACATTGAACTAAACTTTCCGTTTACGGGGAAATCTATTACCTCATCAAATCTTATAAGGGTGACAAACAGCCTAATATCTGCTTCAGAAAGTGTGTTTCCACAGATATATCTTTGCTTCCCAAGCATCTCGTCACATTTATCCAAAGCTTTATATAACTCTTTTGCAGCCTGCAGAAAAGAACCAGAGAAGATCTCAACCAGCATATCACTTTAACATCATAAACACAAAGCTGGAGCCAGTTACACACAAAATAAGACAAGAAACATGCTCACCTGCTCATAAGGCCCTTGCTTCCTTGCAAATCCACATTTATAAACACCATTATTTATCCCATTATAAACCCATTCATTGGTTTCATCAATCTGTGCTCGCAAGTGGGATGGATACAAATCCAAAGTTGCATTTTCAGCTATATCATTGAATTCAGTATTAAACATACGAATAATCTCCGAACTCTCATTATTAACAATTGTCTTGAGCTTCTTATCCCACAATACCTATCATAAACCAAAACCCATCATTCAATTCAAGACATCAACGCAAATCTTAGAATTAAAAAAGAAAAAAAGAAAACATAAACACCATTTTTTGTAACTACGAAACATACTGGAACTGTGTACTTTCCGACATAATTTGTGCTTGCAAGCTCATAAAGTTCTCTTATACTTCTTGTCCCATTCAAAGGATCAGGCTCAGCATCTGGTTCCTCAGTCGCTGAAGCAGGAAACACCCATCCCATATGTTCATCACTCTCTTTTGTTCTTTCCCATATGGGTTTCACAGACTGAACCAAATTCAATAACAAAACACTACTTTGGTCATTAACAAAAGATTGAATCTTTACATATTATAGCACATAATATTACTCCAGACATAAAAAGATAGAATCTTCACAATAATCCTTAAAAAATTACCGTGAAAGTTATGGCCTTTTCAAGTCCTTTAATCATCAAGTAAGCAAGACACCTAGATGCCCAAGGGCAAGCATAGGACACATAAAGATGATACCTTCCGGACTCTGGTGGGAATGTTGAATTTGGTTCTCTTGAAATGAAGTTGCGAAACGTTGAAGCAGTTCTCTTAAATGCACCAGTATCTGACATCTCATCAATTGCAGATCGAGCCATTTGAAGATTAAACTTCAAGAATTCACAGAAATTATTAGTATTTATGCTTATCTGTGACTTTAGGCCATAAAAATAAGATCAAAATATGAATAATCAATCACATGTAACGTAAAAGATTGAATTCGATAATGGGTGTATGTTCAAATATAGAAAGATGATCAAGAAAGTACTATAGATTAGTAGCTAAACGAATTCAATAGAGAATCAAGAGAATTAGCTAGCTTTACCTTCAAAGAAAATTGTGGGAGGATAAAAGAGATGCTGTTCTTGTTTGGTCCAAATGCTAATAACTGAGGTTTGGTGAAGACAGAAATCATTGGTTTTTTCATTCCATTTTGTTTATGTCGCGTATTTTGGACCGACTTTAACGTCTTCTGTTCTAGATGGCATCTTAAAAGATTAGCGAATCAATTTGTCTTTGTTCTCTCTAATCAGCATGCAACGTCATGCCGTCTATATTAGATAAGGGTACGAACGACAGGTCGTCATTGATGAGGTGGGGGTGTTGAGGGGAAGAGGCTGGCTTTAGACGAGTCTGATTGCAAATTGAGCCTATTGGCATATTTGCATTGTTTTGTCTGAGCAAGTTCCAATGACGAAGCCCAGCTTGCACTTTCTGTCTGTCTCTCTTCACATCAACAAGAATGATAAATTTTATGTATAATGATCTAGAAGAATAGCAATAATAATAACGTTGAAGCAAAACATTGTTTTTTATGCAAAAAAGCAAGAGAATATAATCTCACTAGGATTTGGTCTGATACCTCTCAAACATTGACTCCTGTCTCCTAACAAAGAGATCCCAGGCCTTCATCATTACATGTTCGAAAAGTTTAAGATATATTATTTTTCACATGCAGCAAAGAAAACCATGGCATATAAGCAAGTTTCTACTTAATTAGAGAGGTGTGAAAACTAAGAATTTCTTACTGTGAAAAGAAAGAAATATTTAGCATCATTCTAATTACAGTTTGCCATCTTTAGCAAGCAAAAAGTTCCAACCCCATGTAAAGATAGTGACTGCAACCATTGAGTAAATCTAAATCGGGTGTATCTTTGTCTTTCGTGAGAAGTCAGAAAGTGTATGAAAGAATCTGTAACTTCAGACTGCAGAAAATTGGTCATATCTGGAATTCCTTAATCATCATAACCAACTTAAGTGGCTCAATAAGTTTCATTTCCACCTCCATCAGCATCAAAGCATCCCAGCTCATGGTGAGCAGAACTAAAAAAAGGGAAAAATCAAGAATACCATCCAGCTTCCGCTCTAACCTTCCAACTCAGCTTCATCGAAACCCAGCTGTGATTCCTTAGTGGAGAGGTGATTCACAGAAACTTTAAAGCAAAATCCTCATGCAGACAACAACTTGGCTAACTCAGTTGGATTACTCAGTGTAATTATATCACTCGTTGATTATTTCAACAAGGGACCTCCTCTAGCCGTATTTTGTGACACCGCCAGCTAGCAGTGTTCAAGCTGTGAAATGACCAGTGGTAGTACCAAATAAAACTATGTCCCTAGCGAGGAAAAGTAATCTCCTCAAAATCACCAAGCAACTTGCCAATCAGACATGTTAAGGGAATGAAATTCACTTGCTTTTATTTAACTGAGCCACTAACCAATTCCTTTAGAGATCCTGTCAGACAAGTCGGAAACCAGAGCATACTTGTTGCTTTCGTGGCATGCAGATGTAAACGCAGCCAAAGTTACACGGTCCACATTTCTGTCCCTGTCCAATAATTTATGAAAGAACAACACAGCCATGCCTACTTTCTTCTCACTACAAAGCTTCCTGATCAACGTATTAACTGTGCGAATCCAGAGCTTTTTGTCTAGCCTCTCCAAGAGCACCATGGCAGTAGCAGAATCATCTTTTTTGCAATTTTCATAAGCTAATGTCAGCCTAGTAACTTCACATGGGGTCAGCCCCTTGTCAATCATAGCTTCATATAACTGACATGCCTCATCCAACTTGGACTCCTTGCAAAGACCACTTATTAGAGCCCCATAAGTATGATTATCGGGTGTGCAGCCGTGGTCACCCATCCTATTGAAAAACTTCAGAGCCAAACTAACATTTCTATCGCGACAGTATCCGCATATCATGGATGTGTATGTTTCCTTGGTTGGAACAAAGCCGAGACCAACAGCTTCTGCAAGAAGTTTCTCACTTTCTTCCATTCTTTTTTGTCTAGAGAAGGCAGCAATCAATGTGGTATATGTATGCATATCGGGTTGTACTGCAACTTTGAACATCTTACAGAAAAATACAAGGGCCTGCCTAGCATCGGCTCGCCTGCAGAGCTCAGATATGAGAATGGTATATGTTACTGTATCAGCTTGTAATCCACGTTGAAATCCCTTTTTAAGCAGTTTACAAGCCTCTAGAAACCTTCCCTTTTTACATAGGCTATCTATAAAAGCATTATATGTGAAAATATTGGCACTGAAACCTTCTTTACCCATTAAATCCATCAACTCATATGCTCTTTCAAAATTCCCTGCTTTACAGTGCCCATCAATGAGACAACTATATGTCTTGGTGTTAGGAACCAATCCTTGTTCTTTCATTCTGCTCAACAACATCTCCGCTCTATTCAACTTATCATCCTTAGAATACCCATTGATCATTGAAGTGTATGTATGCACATTTGGTTTGTAATCATCACTCCTAACAAGCTTAAGGAACAGTCTAAATGCCTTTTCAGTCCATCCCTTCTTACACAAACCGTCAATTATTGCCGTATGCGTATATACGTTCGGTTTCCAACCTTTCTTAACCATTTCCTCCAACTTCTCAAATGCTTGCTTGATGCTACCCCTCTTGCACAACCCATTAATCAGAGCTGTAAAATTTATCAAATTCGGTTTCAAACCCATTTCAACCCACTTATCAAAATACCAAAACCCTCTACTCGCTAAACCATTCTTACAAAACGTGCTAATCATCAAAGTACAAGTTGCATTATCAACAACAAAACCTCTATAAACCATATCTTTTAACCACCTATCCATGTCCGAAATCCTCCCCATTCTACAATAAGCAATAGCCATCAACTTATAACTAATAGAATCCGGACAAACCCCTCTCACACGCATTTCATCAAACACATTCTCTGCATAATCAACCAAACCCATTTCACCAGCAACACCGGCAACACAATTCAAAGTCCTAGCATTCAAAACCAACCCATGATTTTCCATTTCAATAACCATACTAACAGCCTCATTAAACCTCCCAATCTCAGCAAAAACCCTCACCATACAATCCATAACTTCATGGGCTCTCTCAAAATTCTCATTACCAATCAAAGAAGTCGCAGAAACAATATAAAACCTCATAAAGTACCTAAATTTAGAAAACCCAATTGCCCAATTGAAAAAACTCAATGCCACCATTGACCCCGCCTCACTTGCCAGTGAAGCAACGACAGTAATAGCCTGTTCATGTGTCAATGAATCAGGATTTACAGAAAGATTGAGACTTGGAGATTGTAATAGTCTCACATGTGGGCTTTGTTGGGAGTAAGATTCCCAGACAAGTGAACAAATTGATCTAACAGGAGACTGCTGCTGCTGTAAATGTTGTTTTCGTGGTGGTGGTGAAGTGTGGATGTTACAGCTATTGTTGTTGTCGTCATCGTCGTCATTGAGGTTATTATCAGCAGTGCTGTGGTAGTAACATAGTATTTTGAGAGGTGTGTAAGAGACAGAATAGAGTGAGAGTTTGGCTTTGAGTCCATGAGATTTGAGAGAGAGAAAAGACAACATCAAAGGTTTAATGTCAAGTGATGTGAATATCTGAAGAAGAGTGGAGAATTAGAAGGTCATAAAATTAGCGTTGAGGATAAATTACAAAACAGTCCCTAAATTTTAGAAGTTCCTTCGATTTCCCTCTCATACTAATTTGTCTAACGATAGTCTTCATACAAAAGATATTGATAGTTTTTTACATAAAAAATGATGATTTTATTTATGTCATTTTTATTCGTCATTCTCGATTAAAATTTTACTAATTATTTTCTTGTTTTGTTATCGCATACATAAAATAATTCTCTCACAATCTGTTTCCTTGAAATCTATGGTTTTGTTTTTCAACTCCTCCCCTCTCAAGTATCTAAATTGATGTTTCACTCATATTATTTGTATTGAAAAGTTTAGAAAAACAAATAACCAAACTTAATGCAAAAAGCCTAAAAGATTTGAAATGATTACTATTCATTTATGTATTTGACATGGTGTATTAAATAACATTATTGTAATTTTTTAAGCTTTATTTAGATATTTGATATGGTATTTTTGTAATTTTAGGTCTATATTTAGGTATTTGACATGCAAATTTTTATAAATATTACATCTTATTTTCCAATTTTTTCTAAAATATTTTTTATGTAATTTATTTGTTAACAAATATAATTTATTTTCTTTATGTATGGATTTTCGAATAAGTTTTTTAAGTTGTTTTTATTTGCTTATTCTTTGTATAATTAAATTTTAAAAATAGAATTCACCTATTTTATTTGCTTATTCTTTATATAATCATTTTTTATCGAAATCAATTATGTAGTTGTTTTATTTCACTATAGTAACTTCAATGTATTTTTTTACAACTTAAATTTTTTTAAAATATTTTTAAGTTTATGCTACATACTTTGTTATGACAAACAGCAGAAACAAGACAAGTAATTATAGATAACAAGGAAAAGATAAAGCTAAACGAATTATCTACACACAGGATTTACATAATTTAGCAAATTGCCTACTCTACGGGCGAGAAGGAAGTTTTATTAACTTGATAGTAGGAGAATACAAGAACCACTAGAGGCTCAATACAAAGTCTCCGTCTTTCTCTCTATTTCCTAAATACGGACATAAAGAGATTTAAATACCTCATACTTATAAAGAAAAAAGCTGAATGGGCTAAATATATTATTGACCCATAAAATTCAAGCCACACACAACAAATCTCTACCTTGGCTTGAATCCTATAAACCTTCAAAAATGTCAAATAATTCCTCAAAACACACCTTTAAGCTTACTTGAGCTAATTCGACATAAGAAATAAGAGATGTGAAGAGAGAAAATATTGACTTCAACATTGAAACTAACAAAATTCCTTCTCTCCAACAAAACCCCGAGCATGCATAGACAAATGCTCGAGGCACATGGGCACAAGACAAGTACTTCACACCTGGTAGAAGCATAAAGCATAGGGAGAGAAGAAAACTCACATGGTCGTGTCTCTTTCCTTCACACGGTCGAGCTTCTCTTTTCAAATCACTACCTCTTTAAAGGTAGAAGGCTCCCGAATACCCATTGTCTCGACTCCAGGTGAGGGCATAGGCTACTAGATCAACATAATTATATCTTTAGAGAGGTCTTATTTGTCTTCTCTTGATCGGTAGTGATTGAGTAAGGTCGTTCAACTTCTTTGGCATCCTCATTCATATCTAAATCTTATTGCACATCTATAATCGTAGGGGATACATATAGGGATGGTTTTTTAGGAGTCTTTCTTTTAAACTCCACTTGAAGCTCCACCTTATCCATGACTTTCTCACTCTTTCTTGTAGACTCACAAACTATCTTTCCTTAATCAAGCATATATTTCTCATTAAAAATAACATCTCTACTAATAATGAATTTAGAATTGGGTTTATGGCACCATAAACGATAACTTTTCAACCTATCAACATAGCTAACAAATATGCATTTCTTTGCTCTATGTTCAAGTTTACCATCTTTAATATGATAATAAGCAATGCATCTAAATACTTTTAAATTTGAATAATCACTAAGTTTAATCGACCATACCTTGTTTGGATTACAATCGATAGCAATAGAAAGAGAATGGTTGATAAGATAACAAGTCGTATTAACTCGTTTTAGCCTGAAATCTTTCTCCAAACTCGAATTATAGAACATAGATCTAGCTCTCTCCATCAAAGTCCCGTTCATGTGCTTTACCATCCTCTTTTACCGAGAAGTGTGTTTAATTGTGTAATGTCGGACAATCCCGCAGTTTGTACAAAACTCATTAAAATCTTCATCACATAATTCCAAACCGTTATCCGTTCGAAGACATTTAAACTTCTTTTCCGTTTGATTCTCTACTAGAAATTTCAATTGTTTAAAGGTTTCAAAAATATCACTCTTAAATTTGAGAGAATAGACCCAAACCTTCCGAGAGTAATCATCAATAAATGTCAAAAAATAAAGTGTACCACCTTTGAATGAAACCCGAGCTGGTCCTCATAAATTTGAATGAATGTAATCAAGAGTGCCCTTTGTAGAATGAGTACCAATAAAGAACCGCATTCTAGTTTGCTTTCGTAAGACACAATGCTCATATAAATCAAGTGATGTCATTTGATCACCATAAAGCAAATCACGTTTACTCGGATTAGTTATACCTCTCTTACTTATGTGGCTCATATGCATATGCCACAATTAAGTCCTTTTCTTGTCGAGGTAGGAAGTAATCACTCCTGTAGAGCCGTTAGTATACTACCTTGTAACACATAGAGACGATTAATTTGAGTTGCTTTTATCACAACCAAGAAAACCTTAGAATTTCACTTTTACCAAAGTAGTTATAACCTCTTGAATCTAGATAACTTACGTAAATTAGATTCTTCTTCAAATATAGTATATGTCTCACTTATGTCAAAGTTCTCACAATTGAATTATGACACCGATACAAATTATACTAATACTAGTCATCTTATAAGCTCGAATTGTTACCCATTAGAATAGAGTCATCACTTACGAGTTCATAATGTTAAATCACTTTTTATTTGGACACATATGATAAGAAAAACATGTATCCAAAATCCATTCTTGATTAGAACAACCATCTAAAGGATATACAACAAGAACATTTTTAGCAACATCAACATCGGTAGCCTTCGCCACATTAGTAGGTTAAAAACTTTAACTCTGTGGTTTCTCTTTCTTCTTTAAAGTAGGATAATTTGATTTCTAATGTCTTTTCTTGTGACAATAGTAGCACTTAATGTACCATCCTTAACCTAATTCCTTACAAAAACTTAGTATAACTTAGCCATTTTAGTTCTAGAAAACTCAATTAATCACAAAATATCACTTAGGACCGTTAAAACCTCATATTAGAAAGATTAGGATTTTTTTTTGACAGCAGGTTACACGACCGTGTACTTGCTCGTGTAACTTAAAACTCATTTTCTCTTGAAAATAGAAGGTTACACGATCTTCCACACGGACGTGTACCTTCTCGTGTACGTTTACGCCTAAAACAAGGGTTTTTCAGCTATAACACTTCAAACCTAATCAACAACATTCTTTCCACTTATAACCCTTGGATATTCAATCAAACCACCTTTTCTTTGTTCATAAACACGTTACAAAACACCTCCAGGAGTTCATATTTACATAGTTATATGTACAATTCAAAAATCTCCTAGGATGCATATGCTCGGCATAATGAGAGAGATGAGAGGGAGATCGCCAGCCGACTCGTCACTTATGACGTGAATTGAACAACAAAAGATGACTTTAACTTCCACTTCTTGCTTCTTAGTACCTAAAAAGATAATTGCATTTTTAATGAGATGCTACTCAATGAGAGAACAATAATCCATTGAAACCATAACATGCAATCATGTCATCCAAGTATTATCATATATAAACAATACATGTAGTTCATATGACTCTAAGATTACATGTTTTTCCTTTTCTTATCGGTTATAACTTAGACATGTCAAGTTTCACCCCCGTACTTGTAACTTGTAAACTTGTACACATGTATTCGTTGGTCGACTTTTATAACTTATAGTTAACCTATTAGGTCCTTGTAAACTTGTATTTGCGAAACTTGGACAAGCTAGTCATAACCTTAACCTCTTAGTTTGCATATATCATGAATGTTTCACATATAGCATATACAATATCCATGGCTTACACCATGGTACATATCCATTATAACATCAATAAACATAATGTTTGTGTCAATTAGCAAACGGCACATCATTCACATCATAATATCAATATCAATAAACATAATATTGTTATAACATCAATAAACACAATGTTTGCGTCAATTAGAAAATGGCACATTCACATCATAGTATCAATATCAATAAATATAATATTAGCACTTAATAGCAATAACACATCATGGTACAATTATTATTATTCAACTCACAAAAATGACATCTTCGTCGTTTATTAATGCGTCGCGTCTTGCACCTCACGCTCCTAGACGTCTATAAACACATACACATATACTTTTATAAGTCATTTTATCATGATCAAACTTCTAAATATGCTCAAAGTACAAAATATGACTTTAGGGTTAACTTATTTCTTTATGGGTACTTAACCCCTTTTCACTCTTTCTACCATAAGTCCCAAAATATAGATTCAAATGATGCAATTCTAGTTTCACATGACACTAGACTCATAGGGATCTAACATATCCAAAAATCAACTCTAGATACGAAATACACAACGCATGGTGATTTTCTAAAAATCGGAGTTGCTCGCCATTTCTTTATAGGTACTTGACCCCTTCACAGTTCACATTCTTTGTACTATAAATCCTAAAATACAGGGTAAAATGATAAAATTCTAGTTTCAAATGAAACTAGACTCAAAGGGATCTAACATATCCAAAACTCAGCCCAATATTCTATATACATGATTTATTCTATATTTTCAAACTCTAACTAGTTTCCAGCACCCTTGTAACCGAGCAAGTCTCCAAACAAACAACAATAAATCTAGATTGGGAT